CTGGTATTGGATCTGCTGAACTACTTCGTCAGCGTTTTGGTTTCTATTAACCATCCTTATTTCCGGGGCTATAACTCTAGGCTCTTGGACCCCGGGTTGTTCTATTTGTACCCTAAGGTTCTCTTCGACAGGCTGCTGGACTTGGTTAATAGTGGTCTCTTCCTCTGGAAGTATGCCTTGGTTCCCCCTTATTTGTGCCCTTTGAGGCTGTCGAATAGGTTGGGGTACCCCAAAAAAGTCAGCCAGACGCGACATTTGCGATGTCATTTGCTGATTCGACTGGATGGTATTCTGTATTAGAGGATTTAGCACTGTACTTAAAGTTTGCGCCAACATTTGAACCATGTCGTGGTTGCTTTCATCCATTTGCTGCCTCAAGACTGCTGTCGAAGCATTCGTAAGGCCATGCATTACTTGGGACGTTCCTCCTAAGAGTTGGGTCCTACCCCTGTTCGCCATACCAATCCCAGAGCCTTGGAGTGGCGAAGAGGCGCTCACTAAAGGATCTGAAAAAGTGGACGTAGCATTCGTCAGGCTAGCCAATTCAGAAGTTGGCATGCCATAGAGTGGTTCTCGATTTAAACCGACTGTCGAAAAGCCTGGGGGAACATATGGCCTAGTTCCTTGGTTTCCCTTTGGTGGGGGAGTTCCCAAAGGCATTCTGGGGCCTGTAAATGGAGGTAATGGCCTCGTTTGTGTAACCGTTACTGCTGGCGTTGAACCAACGGTTACCACTTCACTTACGGCTGGGATAACCGTTGCTCCCACGTTTGTCTGTGGGATTTCTCCGTTGTTTGGCGGATTCGCCATTTCTTCACTTCTTCTCCTAGTATTGGTTTCGTTGGTGTATATTCTACCACTTCTCAATAACATGCAATACTCTCGAAAAAGGAGGATATTTTATATAAAACGGTTAATCGTGAGAAAATCAACACAAGGTCCCACCGGGTGTGCCAATTTGTTTACCGGGAAAAATGGTAAACAACTGCTGATCTTCCAAAAGGTTACTTATTTGGTGACTAGCATGATCGATCAGATTGATCCTAAGACATGGTTGGTTTTTGGAGTTTGACTAACCCTAATGGTGATTAATGCCAGTAAAATAAAGAAACTTTAAGTAAATTGCATGAAGAAAAGCTTGATAGAATAAATAAAAGCGTTAAGGAATTGTTAAATAAAAGGCTTCGACGGAGTTAAATAAATGAACAACGGTAAATTGCTTGAATATAAAAGACTTTGATTAATTTAAATGGTGTTTCACACATACATTCTCAATGATTCTTTCTCTCACGCTGGGTACTTGAATCTAAATGAGTGACTTGTATAAAATGATGAACACACTAATAACTACATAGGAACTTTGTATTTATACTAAGGAAAATCCTAAGTAACCGCTGGGCAGTTACACCGCTTCGAGATGACGCCACATGGCACGCTCACAACCTTCGACGCCTATGCTCTCGACACGTTGCACTTGGTAACTGCTGGGAATCGTTTTCCCTCCAACAATTCAAATCTCAAACTGTTCGACCTTGGGCATCAGGGACCTTTGTCGAGGAGTTCCTTCGACGTCGAAGACAACCAGATTCTAACTTAAAGGAATTTCTCTAAGTATCTTGTCATTCTTTGATGAGCCTTCGACATGATCAGTTGGTCGAAGCCTCCTTATGTAGGAAACTCTTCTGACTCATAATTAATGGTCTATATGATAATAAACATGGGTGTCGAATTTAGGAGTCAACACTTTGACACTGAGTTAGAAATTTACCATCATCTTGAGTCAGTATCCATTTATCTCTTCACGGCCTATACAAGGCGTCTTCCCTGATAGAGTCAGTAATTTTTCTTCTCTCGAAGTTGTACCCTAATAAGAGTCTCTCATTCGAAGTTTGTGGTTATGTTCCCCAATAGAGGTATAATCTCTTCTTCTGTGGGTTACTTTATCATGTGCTTGGTTTCTCCAACAGTAGTTTGTCTCATGTGGCACAATTCCCTATGAAACTCAGAGCATTCATATCATATCATAAACATCATTGTGGTATCTTAGGACCAAAAATTGTGTATTCTATATTTAAGTATCTTCAATCTCGTCGAAATGAAAATTTCAATTTTCATATCTCCGATAGAAGAAACTTAAATAGGGGCAACTGTAATACCCTAATTTTTTACCTAAGATCCCACATTCCATCTGCATCATTGTATAACAAGTGTTCACGAGTGATTTGACCTATTTTTGCTAATTCTCGAGTCAAATTTTAAAAATTCATAACTTCTTCA